AAAACAGTAGAAGTTGCCAGGGAGCCCCGAGAGGTGGGTGAGCTTCAGATACAGCATCAGCCCGTAGCCTCCAGGATTCGCACAACCGTGGAACATGCTAGAACATGTTGCTGACTGCCCTCCACTGCAGCCACATTTCTGACAGGCAGTGGGTCGACAGGCACTGGTGGCTGCGGGCGATGACATTGCAAGCGAAGTACAGCATGATCCGGTGCCTGGAGATCTAGGTGGAGAGCCACTACTGGCTGAGCATGCCACTACCTGAAGGCTGAGCAGGAGTGGGGGGGGGGCGTGTGGGGGCGGCGGGGAGGGTGGAGGCCGTCAAGGTGGCTAGCACTTCCAAGGTCCCCCTGTGTAGATTTCTTCTTGTAGGCCAGCTCAACCAACTCAGTGTCACCAAGGAAAGGTCCTAACCCTGAGCCATCACCCCTCAATTTTATAGATCACGGGGCTTTACCTGATCCTTGAACTGCAAAACTAGCTACGATAAAAATGTGAGCGTTTGGACCAGTTTTATTAAAACAATTAGAGCATGGTGGGATGCATATTGAATATCTGGGGCTCTAAACTCCTTGATACTTAAAAGTCTAATCACTGTCCTATTTCTTGTTTCTTTAGCTTGATAGGAAGACAGAGATTTCCTGAGTCACAGATGATATAAAATTTATTTTGAAAGGAAGTTGCAGTAAAACCACAAACTATGGTGCGGGGAGCGGGAGAGGAAAGCATTAGCAACAGTTTCAAATGCTGCAGAGATGTCTGGTTGCATGAAGACTTTCAGATTATTCACTCCAAAAAGATTATTCATTCCATCTATCCTTCCATCCACCCAATTAGCCAGGCAGTGTTATGCTGGAGATGTAGCACTAAGCAAAACAGACAAGAGTTTCTACCTTCATGGAGTTTATTTTTTTAGTGAAGGACAATCACCAGGTAAGTAAATAAGTATATAGTGTGTCAATTGAGGAATGGATCCTCTTACTGAGAAAATGGCATTTGAATAAAGATCTGAAGGAGAGAAGTCTTGTAGGTAGAAAGCGTTTGAGACAGAGGGAATAGCCAGTGTAAATGCCCATAGCAGGAGCACACCTAGAGTATTTTAGGAAAGCAAAGGGCAGTGTGATGGGGCAGAGTGAGTGAAGGAGAGGTGTAGGAGATGAAGTCCAAAGAAGGTAAGAGAGGTCAGATCATGTAGGGCTCTGTAGGCCATGGACAGGACTATTGTTTTCAGGCTGAGCGAGATGGAGTATTAAGAGAAGATTTTGAGGAATGTCTCATTTGAGTGATCTTTTTTACAGGCTTGTTCTGGCAGCTAAGTAGTGAGTAGACTGTAGAGTATAAAGGTGAAGGCAGGGAAAAACCAGTTGGTAGATTGTTGCAGTAATCCAGTTGAGCGATTGTGATGTCTTTGACCAGCTGTGAGGTTGGTAAGAAGTAGTTGGATTTGGGTTATATTTTGAAGGGAGAATCAATATGATCTGCTGAAGGATTGGATGTAGGATTGAGACAAAGAGTAAAGCATAATTTCAAACATTTTGAACTAAGCAACTATAATAATGAAGTTGGAGATAGAGAATATGGGAGGAAGATCAGACCTGAGTATTGGACACATTTAATTCAAGATGCCTATTAGCTGTCCAGAAATTTCAAGAGAACAGTTCCATATACAAGTCAGAAGTTCAGGAATTAGCTCTGGACTGGAAAGAGAAAATTGGAAGTGATGAACATATACATGGTTTGTAAAGTCATGAAACTGGATGAGATTATTTAAAGAGTGAATGTAGATAGAAGATACAAAAGGTTCACTTCTGAACTACCTTAATATGTACGGTTCAGGAAGATGAAGAACTCACAAAAAAGACAAAGGATGAAACAATGAAAGCGGAAGAAAACTATTTTATTTAATTTGGCAAATAGGATATTACTGATGAACTTGCTAAGATTAATGTTAGTAGAGTGGTGGGAATGTAAGACAAAAAAATCAATGGGCTGAACACTAAATTGGAGACGAAGAAGGTGAAACAGTGATTATATTAATATACTACTTGTAAAATAGGTTTGGTGATGAGTAGATGCCAAAAGATGATGGGTCACTCAAGGATGATATAGGATCAAGAAATGAGTGTTAGTTTCTTGGGATGGGGGAGACAAACATTTTTATAGGCAGAAGGGACAAAAAAATATGGCCTGGCTGAGGTGGAAAAGGACATTTCCAGAGCACCATTGTGCTTTGGTTTGGAAAGATGGAAGAACATACTTTACATCCAGGAACTAGAATGATGGAGTTACCCTAATCTGAGATGAAGAAAGACTTCTGGTGGCTTTTCATCCACTCATACTTAAAGCAGAGGTCCTTTCCACTGAGGCAGTGGGAAAAGAAATAAGGATTGTTGAAAATATCAATGATTGTAAGGATGAAGAAAAAAGAATTTCATATGTTTGTTAATTTAACAAACCTTTATTGATCATTGACTATGTCCTATGTGTGATTCTAGGTTCAGGAGATTTGGAGTGAGCCAAATCAATACATTTGATATTGTCCTACTGGGGCTTACATACTTGTAAGAAGTAGAGGAGTATGTGTCTGAAGGCTTCCTTCTAAGTGGAAGAGGCAGCTAGATTGCTGGCTGAGAGAGGGCTAAATGGGCTCAGATCGACTCCTGAGGAGAATAGTAATGGTTCATATTAGTTGTTGAGGGGCTTTGTGAAAAGAGCCCAGGACAGCCACATTTTTGTTCAGGTAACACGGTATAGAGAATTTTATTTTCAGTGCTCAACAGCCTAGAAAAGATATAAAAAATATAGATAGCCTGGTGGGACAGGATTGGGAATTGTGAAAATGAATATGGAGGCCTTGTGATTTACCCATGTGATTTACGTTTCATTTTATTTAATTATAAGTCACAGTCTAAATAATATAATCCTAAAGAAATATGTCAGAAAATGTTAGTACTGTTTAATTGAAATTTGAGAACTTGAAGGAAATACTCATGAATATAAAGTGGTAAATTAAATAAGCTATGATATTCTACTTCTTGCTAAGTGTGACCTGAAGTAATTATATCTCTATTAGAGTTCTGAATTACCTTTCTGATCAACAGTTCTTTAAATTTCTTATATGAGCAAATAATAATTTACTTTCCAACTTGAGGTTTTTTTCCTTTTCTTTTTATTTTTACTATCTTAGTATATTCTAGCCTACTATTTTTATTCTACTGAAATATTTTAGCTTGAATTATTTATAAGGATATAACCAGGATAGCAAGTGGTTCAGGGCATTAGTGTTTATTTTTGGAATATGAGTGCTCTGACATCAATCCTATATCAAGTTAGATTAATATTACCATAGCTGGGGTAAAAACATACCTTTAAGCTCATTTATTTGTTCCCTAGAATTTAATGCCTCTTGGTTCTAAATTCTAATTAATTAATTACTTGGCTAGACCTTCTTTCCTATTTCCTTCTTTCCTATTATTTATATTCCTTATAAATAACAATGTAGCATTTTTGCATGAAATTAAGGTGCCAGTAATTGTTATTTATCTACAACATGGATACAATTCTTGTCAAATTGTGTGATACTATAGACATTCGCATATATAAATTATATAAAGTATAACTTTTTTTATGGTAGCACAAATACACAATTTTTCTTAGGGTTTGGGAAAGGATTTAGTGATTGTCTCAAACACTTATGACACCAAAATGAAGACTTGAGCTGGACTGTTATGTTTAGAATGTTGAACATGATTTTCTTCCCCTAAAATCTATTTTCTGGTTTTCTGTCATTCTGTTGAATACAATGATTATCCTTTCATTGACTTTCTGCTCTTTTACTATAATGATAATGTTCCAAAAACTAGTGTAGGATTTTGGGGGGGGGGTAATTTCTGCCTATTTAATACTAAAAATGAATTTATGAGCTTGATGCTAAACGTAGAACATAAGACTTAATTTTCAATTAATATTCTCATTTTTCACATACTCACCTGTGTTCTCTGTGGGCATCTTTTTTTTTTTTTTTTTTTTTTTTGAGACAGAGTCTCACTTTGTTGCCCAGGCTAGAGTGAGTGCCGTGGCGTCAGCCTAGCTCACAGCAACCTCAAACTCCTGGCTCGACGATCCTTCTGCCTCAGCCTCCGAGTAGCTGGGACTACAGATGAGCCACCATGCCCGCTAATTTTTTTATATATATATCAGTTGGCCAATTAATTTCTTTCTATTTATAGTAGAGACGGGGTCTTGCTCTTGCTCAGGCTGGTTTTGAACTCCTGAGCTTGAGCAATCCGCCCGCCTCGGCCTCCCAAGAGCTAGGATTACAGGCGTGAGCCACCGCGCCCGGCCTGTGGGCATCTTTTTATACAACCAGCTGGTATGAGGAGATGTGGTCAACGTTAGGATGTTGATAATTGGCCCACACCAAGAAAGAATCAGTGGTCCTAGCCTTTTTAAGCCAGTTTGACAAATACTGAGAACCCTACAGCATAGAAGGCACTGTGCCAGATGCAGTAGAAGACTGATTGTTAGGATGTATTAATATTTTAATCAGTTAATCTATCTACATAGCAGACAGCAGAATGGTGCCCAAGAAGTTCTGTTTTGTCATGAATTTCAGGCAACACATTAACTTCAGTTGATTTAAGAAATCAATAGACATAGGCCATGTTTTACTTCAGCATGTTTTCAAGAGTCTCATCATCCCTTTCTAGGAAACTGGAATCTTTGATTGTCAAGGAATATAAGCTACAAACTTCTGCCAGGTCAGAAATTCAGCGATTCCATTTCCTGTCATTTAGTAAATTTTAGGAACTATTTTCATATTTTGTTTTATAATTGACTTAAGTATTAGGAGAAATGGAAAGAAATTCTCATTAACTTTTTTTACCTCTATTTTTATAACATAGAATGGACTTTAGTTTAAATTAAGGAGGAATCTTCCAGGTAGCTAACCCTAATACTAAAATGAAAAGTAAATTACATGATTTCTTGTAATTTGACAGCGCTTTGAACTCCAAGATTCAGAAAGCTCCCTGCTTCCTAAAGAGATTGTACGAGTAGAGAGGAGAACTGAAAACCATGTCTCCCAAGCTTTTGTGACTATCCGGATTGCAGAAAAAGAGATGACCATTAAGGTAAAAGAATCACAGGTTTGTTCTTTCCAAGATGTACATTGTTCTGCCTGTTTTTATGACCTAAATTGTGTTTATGATATCAGTCTTTGGCTTGATATTACCACATCTATATGTGTATATCTCTATGTCTCTAGAGTCATGTGTGCTTGTGAACTAAAAAAATTCAGGAGAAACATAGGGTAGCCTTTCATCAGAAATACAAAGACTTCTGGGAAAATCAAATCAAGGGCTGATTAATGAAAGCATTTTGTACTATGAGTCCTTGGTAAGAAATAGTGTATTTAAACATATTTTAGTGGCTAGAGAACCCTATTTTCAAATAAAATTTTTCTTAGCTACACAAAACTATTAAAAGAGGAGCTGTTGAATAGTTTTTAGAAGAAGGGAATAATATTTGGTCATAGAGCTCCATCTACTTGCTCTACTTCCCTTTTTTCTAACATTTTCTTTTTGGGTCCTAAGAACGCCAAGAGGTTATGGAAAACTCGGAAACACAGCTTGAAAAACACAAAGTGAATGTAAAAAAGAATAATTCTTGCCTTCTTATGTTGTGGCAGAGCAAAATTTCATGATAAGCTCTTTTGTTTTAATATATTAATATTTATTCATGTTACTGTACTTATTCATTGAACTAAACATTGATTATGTCTATTATGAGCCAGGCTCTATATTAAGATTTACTGAGTGTTTGTTTACTGTGTGCTAGTTATTGTATTTATCTCTTTGCATATATTATGCATTTAAGTTCTCCAATAGCCCTAGAGGTAAGTTTTATTAGCTTCATTTAATAGATTAGACAACTGAAATGTAAAAGAGGTTAATTGATTCACCCATAGTCAGTCACTAGCTAGGAAGTGGCACAGCTGGGATTTCTAGGCAGAGGGACACTTCCCACTACACTTTCTGTCTCCTAAAGATGAATGACCTTTATAGTTTGGTGTACAGGCAGATGAGTAAGGACTGCATTGGAATGGCTATGGTGATATAGAGAAGGGAGTAATACTGGAAGTCAGGAGAAGGAATAGAGAAAGCTTCAGAGATGGGGAAGGACTTGAGCTAAGTCTTAAAGAATGACATAGGATTTTTCCAGTGGCCCATGAGTGTATAGGATGTTTGGGGCAGTTTAAATATTAATAGTACATTCAGAAGCATTAGGTATGAGCAAGACTTCATTATTTGCTTCTCTTTGATAATGGCTCTCTAACTTCATTGGCTCCAGTCCCTTCCAGTTAGCTTTCCATATTAGTACCAGGATGATCTTTCTTAAATGCAAATTACTTCCAAACTTAAAATTCTTTAGAATTCATGTTGTGTATAGTATGATCTGGTCCAGAGTCCTCAGCAGAGCATGGCCCTCAGGGGACTAAAATAATGAGAGGACAAAAAAATAAAAGGAGAAGTAGGTATGAAGGATGGGAGGAGAGATTTTATGAATAGATGCTTCTGAGTGGTAAACCAAGATAAGAGTGAAAAGGATTTGTGGACATGGCTTTTAGAAATCAAGAGGTCATTGGTGACTTTGGAAATTCTAGTGGACTGATTTTAAATTCTGTGCTTAAAACTAGAATTTGGGGGAAAAGCTTCCTTCTCTAGTAGTGACATAATTATTATAATTTATAAATAGGATAGAAACGACATGATTCTTATGAACATAACTGGCAACATGAGGGACTTTAATTTCAGAGGAATGATTGATTTGGAAATCTGATGATAATAATGACCAGATTTGTGAATGAAAAAATAGTTGCTGCTCAATTCTATACTATTCAAAAACAGTATAGAATTAAACTGAGCAAGGACTTAGTGGAAGCCTTTTGAATAACAGTTAATGTGCTTTAAGTTACTAATAGTTTGAGAAAAGCATATGCATATTATGTTTACCTCTCTTTAATTATAGGTACCAGCTGGGACCAGGCCATTAAGGCAACCTTGTGCATCAGACCGTTTCATACAGACTTTAAGCCATAAGCAGCTACAGGCTGAAATGATGCAGTCTCACATGGTTAAGGATATATGTTTAATTGGAGGAAAGGTAAGAATGGCAGTTTGAATGAAAACTTTTGTTTCCTGGCTTTTGGTTATTTTGACTTATCCCTTGAATAATTGTGCTTCCATTTGTAGGGTTGTGGAAAAACAGTCATCGCTAAGAACTTTGCTGATACCTTAGGATACAACATAGAACCGATTATGCTCTATCAGGTACAATGTTCGCTTTTAGTTCGCGGACTATAAACATACATGTTTAGTTCATCAGTAGAATTTATGAGAATTTTCCTGTTTAGTCATGACTTTTAAAATTTCTGATGTAGATAAATATACTAAAATAGTAATTAAATTAGAATGCCATTATAGTTATTTGGAGTTTCTGAAAGTGCATTCTAGGATATCTGATGTGCATAACACACCAGGGGCTGTTTTTCAGGAGAGATTCATTTACCAGAGGCTAAGAAGGTAGGGGGTAGGGAGGAAGAGAGGTTGATTAATGGGTACAAAAATACAGGTAGATAGAATAAATAAGACTGAATGTTTGATAAATCAGTAGAGTAACTATAAGGAACAATAATCTATTATATATTTAAAAATAGCTAGGAAAGAATAATTTGAATGTTTCTGCATAAAGAAAAGTAAATGTATAAGATAATTGATAACCAAATTACCTTGATTTGATTATTTTACATTACATGAATATATCAAAATATCACATGTACCCTGAAAAATGTACATCTATTATGTATCAATTTTTAAAAAATATTGATTTTATGAACTTTATGCATATACACACAGAGTACATTTACTGGTAATTTGGAAATCTAAACAAAGTAGATTCCAGCTGCAGTTGGAGATAATTAGTATTCACTGAATAGATTATTTTGTGTGTGATAAAATATACATAACACAAGAATTCCCATTTTAACCATTTTTAAATGTACAATTCACTGACATTTAGTACATTCATGGTGTTGTATAACCATCACCACTTCCTATTTCCAGAACTTTTCCATCAGCCTAAACAGAAACTCTGTACCCATTAAACAGTAACTCTCGATTTCCCCCTCCCTCTCAGACCCTTGTAACCTCTCTTTTACCTTCTGTCCCTAGAATTGCCTATTCTAGGTAGCTCATGTAAGTGGAATCATATAATTTCTGTTCTTTTTGTCTAGTTTATTTTACTTACTATAGTGTTTTCAAGGTTCATCATGTTGTAGCATATATCAGAATTTCATTCCTTTTTATGGCTAAATAATATTTTGTTGTAGGTATATACTACTTTTTTTGAGGTTTTCTAATTTTTACATTTATTAAATGAGTCAGAATGGTAATTTTAGTTCATGAGAATTAACGTAATTATGACAGAAAAAGTTGTCTGGGAAGTAGGATTAAACTTGAACTACACAAAATCATAACAAGTCTGAACTCTCAAACTCTCTGGGTTCTCAAAGCATATTCCCTAAAACAACTAAAATTTCAAAATATCTAAAATTTTATTACCAAAGCTCAAGAAATGCTAATGATTAAAATATCAATTCAGAAAGATCTTTTTTAAATTTCAAAATATTAAGAGGATACAAATATTTTTGGTTATATGGATTGCTTTTGTAATGCTTGATCACAGCTGTAAGTGTGCCCATCACTCAAATAGTGTTCATTGTACCCATTAGGTAGGTTTTTGCCCCTCCTCTCTTCCCCATTTCCCCCTACTTGATTTCCACTGAGTTTTTTTTTTTCTGTGCACATGTGTGCTCATTGATTAGTTCTAATTTAATAGGGAGTCCATTTGGTGTTTGTTCTTCCATTCTACTTCATTTAGAATAATAGTCTCCAGTTCCATCCAAATGGTTGCAAAAGACATTAATTCATCATTTTTATGGCCATTTTTTATGGCTCCGCGGTATACATATACCACAGTTTGTTAATCTACTCATGAATTGATGGGCACTTGGGTTGAGTCTACATCTTTGCAACTGTGAATCAAGCTACAATAAGCATTTGCATGCAGGTGTCTTTTTGCAAAAATGACTTCTTTTTCTTTGGGTAGATACCTAGTAGTGGGTTCCTGGATCAAGTGGTAGTTCTACTTTTAGTTCTTTGAGGAATCTCAATACTGTTTTCCGTAGAGATTGTACCAATTTGTGCTCCCACCAACAGCATATAAGTGTTCCTTTCTCTTTGCATCCATGCCAACATCTATTGTTTTTGGATTTTTTAATAAAAGCCATTCTAACAGGGGTAAGGTGATATCTCATTGTGATTTTAAATTACATTTCCCTGATGATTAGTGACATTGAGCATTTTTTCATATCCATTCATCTGTTGATGAACCCTTGAGTTGTTTCTTTTTGGCTCTTGCAACCTTTTGGCTTTTGCAACCTTTTGGCTATTGGGAATAATTCTGCTATGAACAATCATGTTCAAACATCTATTTGAGTCCCTGCTTTCAATTCTTTCAGGTATACACCTAGGAGTGAAATTGCTGGATCATAGGGTAATTCTATGTTTAACTTTCTGAGGAACCAATAAACTGTTTTCTGTAGCAGCTGTACCATTTTACATTCCTATGGGCAAGGCATGAAGGTTCCAATTCCTCCACATCCTCATCAACACATATTTTCTGTTTTCTTGGTTACGTTTTTTGTAACTTCATCTTAATGGGCATGAAGTGATAATTCATTGTGATTTTGAATTGCATTTCTCTAATGACTAATGATGTTGAGCATCTTTTCATGTGCTTATTGGCTATTTGTTTATCTTCTTTGGAGAAAAATGCCTATTCATGTTCCTTGCCCATGTTTTAATTGGGCTGACTTTTTGTTGTTTATTTGTATATAATTTTTACACATTATGGATATTAAATCTATTCTCAGATATGTCATTTGCAAATGTTTTCTCCTGTTCTGTGGGTTATCTTTTTATCATCTTGATAGTTCTTTGATGCACGAAAGTTTTTAATTTTGTTGAAGTCCAATTTATCATGTTTTCTTTGGTTGCCTGTGTTTTTGGTGTTAATTTCAATACATCATTGCCAGGTCCAGTGTCATGAATTTTCCCTTGTGTTTTCTTTTAACAGTTTTATGGTTTTAGGTCTTACATTTAGGTCTCTGATTCATTTTGAATTAAATTTTGTATACGGTGTAAGGTAAGGGTCCAACTTTAATCTTTTGCATGTGGATATCCAGTTTTCCCAGCACTGATGTTGAAAAGACTATTCTTTCTCTGTTGGATGGCCTAAGCACTTTTGTTAAGAATCATTTCATCATATATGCAAGAGTCTATTTCTGGGCTTTCTATTCAATGTCCATATGTCAGTATCACATTGTTTTGATTATTGTAGTTTTATAGTAGTTTTTTTTTTTTTTTTTGAGACAGAGTCTCACTTTGTTGCCCAGGCTAGAGTGAGTGCCGTGGTGTCAGCCTAGCTCACAGCAATCTCAAACTCCTGGGCTCAAGTGATCCTTCTGCCTCAGCCTCCCGAGTAGCTGGGACTACAGGCATGCTCCACCATGCCCAGCTAATTTTTTCTATATATATTAGTTGGCCAATTAATTTCTTTCTATTTATAGTAGAGACGGGGTCTCGCTCTTGCTCAGGCTGGTTTCAAACTCCTGACCTTGAGCAATCCTCCCGCCTCAGCCTCCCAGAGAGCTAGGATTACAGGCGTGAGCCACCGTGCCCGGCCTATAGTAAGTTTTGAAATCAGGAAGTGTGAGTCTTCCAAATTTGTTCTTTCTTTCCAGGGTTATTTTGACCATTTGACCATCAGGGTCCTTCGAGATTCCATATAAATTTTAGGATGGACTTTTCTGTTTCTTCTCTCTCTCTCTCTCTCTCTACACACACACACACACACACACACACACACACAGCCATTGAGATTTTGATAGAGATTACATTGAATATGTAGATCACTTTGTGTAGTATTATCATCTTAATAAGTCTTCCACCAGGCATGATGGCTCACCCCTGTAATCACAAGGGTGAAAGGCCAAGGTGGGAGGATGGATTGAGGCCAAGAGTTCAAGACCAGACTAGGTAACGCAGCAAGACCCACATATCTACAAAAAATTAAAAAATTAGCTGAGTGTGGTGGCGCACCTGTAGTCCTGGCTACTCAAGATGCTGAGGCAGGAGGATCACTTGAACCCAGGAATTTGAGGTTACAGTGAACTATGATTGAGCCACTGCACTCTAGCCTGGACCACAAAGTGAGATCTTGTCTCAGAAAAACAGCAAGTCTTTCAATCCATGAACACAAATGTCTTTTCATTTATTTATGTGTTCTTTAGTTTCTTTTAGCAATGTTTTGTGATTTTCAGTGTACAAGTCTTTTGTCTCCCTAAGTGTTTTTGAAGAGGTTATTTTGGTAGATGTACATGTTGTATATAATATGGTAAAAAGGCATACTTACAGCTGGTATTATTACAGTGTGAAATTTTCTGTCATTTTTTTTTTAATGATCCCTTATGCAACATTTTTATCCTGCTAATTTTTTGATTCTGTATGTCAGTCTTTGGCTGGTTATGGCAGTTTCTTACTTATAGCAAAATAGTCTCTGTTTTTATTCTTTGAATATTTTTGGAAGTAAATGTGATACTACTTACTTACATTTTAAGATAGCTTTTTTGTTTTTAGATTATTCTTTATACTTTTTAATTGTTTCTAAAACTAAAAATGTTTATTTTAATAATGTTCTTATTTCTGAAAAATGGCATTTAAACCAGTTAGTTGTCATGATCTTAGATCAAAGAAAATTTTGCTAGCTGCTCATATTTCACATGATTCTGTTGAGATTCTTTTCCTGCTGCTTTAAGGTACTTTGTACTTGTTGATTGAATTAGCTGGAGTTTGGAAGGAATTGTAATTACATGCTACTGGTAACTTTTGGGCTATAAGCAGAAGAGTCTTTGTAAAGTATAGGTGAGAATTCTCCATGAAATTAATTTTTTTTCTTCCCTTTCGGTAATTTAACTCATTCAGAGCACCAAGATACCATTTAGGATTTTGAGTTGCATTAAAAGTAGTTTTGGAAACAAAAGAGAAGCTTACTGTCTTTGTACAAAACTGTAGTGGATTCATACTTCTATTATTTGGTACAGTTTTTATTGTCATATTTCAAGAAAGGCAGGTAGGTAGGTATCAAGGTAAAGGTAATTAAATAACTAATCAAAGAACTTAAAACATTCAAATGTTTACTGAGAGTCTCT